ATGAGATACTGTTCAAGTTATGAAGCTTTCAAACATGAGGAAATTCGTATTTGTATGGCATTATTATTGAACAAATATCCAATGGATTTTATTCTTAAACAAATTGAAAGAGTTTTTCAAACATTTCAATGCGAGATTCCAACCAAAGGAAATTTCTCGAATATAAGAAAAATCTTTCTCGACACCACGCATAGCAAAACAAAGAGGACTGAAATTGATTTTGAGGTCACAATTTTATGTCATTTTTCCTTCTGCAAAGGAATGCATAATTTCTCGACACAATTTCATCAATTGTGGAACACTCGTTTCACAAATACAGCCATTTGTGGTATGAAACCGATATTAGGTTCTAAGAGACTACATAATCTTCAAGATTATCTTGTTAAGAAGAAACCAGATCGTTCAAGACTTGGCTTAGAGAACCAATAAACACCGTACCGTGCAGTACCCATTGACCACCACCAACAACGACCAGAAAGGTCAACGATCCATCTACTGCAACAGTTTTTATCTTGTAGCTATCGAGTGTGGCTCATCAAGCCCACGATAGATGTCTTTTCTGTTGTATAAAAGAGTTTTTTGTAAAGTTCTTGTGTGTTTTCTTCTGATGACGTGAAGTAACAACTTGACAGAAACTAGTCAATAAAAAGAACAAAAACAACAAGAAATTATTTTTTAATTTAATTTAAATAGAAATTTTTTTTTTCGAGTTTGAGTTGAGTATTCTTTTCTTTTTGAGAATAATAGACTCATAGTTTGTCTTTTGAAAGTACATAACTATCTACTCTTTCTTTTCTTTTTACGGATCTCACCCTCTGTCATAGAAATCTACAATTACTTTCGAGTAACATAGTAGATTAATATCTTTGTTTTGGATTCTTTTGAATTCAGAATAGACAAGCCATTCGTAAATCGTCTTAGCAGACGTGAAACTAGTCATGGCAGCTGATCTCACACACCCATCTCTAAAGACAGAGGACGCTATGCGACGCCGCTATAAAATGTAATAGCGATAAGCAGTGATTGAAAACTTGGCCCTAGTGTCAGTTCGCGTAGACTTTTCGGCGCTGGTACGTTTCATCGCGAAAAAACTTAACACTATGCTCACAGGTTTCGGCTCTTGATTTTGTGCATGGTAGAGAAACACTGATTGTTGATGACGACTAACTAGACATTGTCGATCGTACTAATAAATGTTTATGAAGACTAGTCGTTTGTTTTGGTGAAACTACTAGATTCTTCCTAATAATATATCGCTCTTATGTCCATATTAAGATCCATCTATGTTGAAGTAAGATCAGTGTATAACACATGGCAAAATGTCTCTCACATAGAAAAAAAGAGAAAGAAATTCCGTGCTGAAATGTAAGAATGCTGTTCTTTACGCCGCATTAGTGCTCAACTCAGTGTCCCAGGTGATTCAATCCGACTGGCGGATCGTGTCGGATTATATAGAATTACGTCGGAAAAATGACTGGATTTTATCGGATCCGATGGGAATCCGTCGGAGTTTGCCGGCGTCCTAACCACAGGATTCCGATAGGCGGTTCTGAATGTCGGAATGATCACGATACTGCGGAATTCTGGAGAATCCGACACTTTCCAACATCTGGAGCCGCCTGTCGGAATCCTGTGGTTAGGTTTCCNGGATTTTATCGGATCCGATGGGAATCCGTCGGAGTTTGCCGGCGTCCTAACCACAGGATTCCGATAGGCGGTTCTGAATGTCGGAATGATCACGATACTGCGGAATTCTGGAGAATCCGACACTTTCCAACATCTGCAGCCGCCTGTCGGAATCCTGTGGTTAGGTTTCCTGGAACTTCCGCCGAGTTCCCCATCGGATCCGATGGGCTGAGTTTGACCTGGGGTGAGAAAAATACTAATTCATTACTGAAAAAGTTTCATTCAGTGCGGCACACAACAGAAAGTGGATCGCAAACATCATTTATATACACTATTTTGATAAGAATGATGACAACAGATGTTGAGTGGTGGCTTATTTTCATAGATGTATCAATGATTTTATCGACGGTTTTAGCGATTCTTCTCGCAATTATATTTATAGTTATCGTTCTTACGCACCGAACATGTAGAAAAGCATCTATGATTCTTAGTAGTACTCTATGTTTTGCAGAGCTCTTCTTTGGATCTGTGACGGCAAGTATAGCTGTATTTTCACTCCAAAATGACCGACAACAAAGAGTTTTTCAAGATTCACTTTGTGTATTTCGTGGTTACATGGGCTTTGTAGGATTTTGTTTACTCATGAATTCTTGTGTTTTACAAGCAATTTATCGATATATTGTCATTGTTTATCCAACTCGTCTTTCCTGGCAATCAGCTCGAGTTCAACTTATTGCAATATCTGTTACGTGTTTATATTGTTTCGTCACGATGCTTCCTTGGTTTCTCACTGGTAATATCACATATAGTATTGATGATCAAGTATGTTTAGTCTCATTACAGCTATCGGTACCTGTTATATACAATATGTTTATGACATTTGTATTTCCGATATCAATTATAATGTTAATCTATAAAAAACTTGTTTATCATGTTCAGCAAATAAGTATTCGTGCAACATCGAATCAAACTGTATTTCAAGCTCGACGTAACTTTACCATTGTTTCTCGTATTATCATCATAGTTATCATTTTACTAGTCTTAGGTATACCCTATATGATCTTCAATTTCATGTCTTTCTTTACAAAACCATCGAGATATCATTTACGTATTACTGTTTTGCTCCTTGATGTCTTTCAGCCATTAACAATGATGGTCATCTTTCTATCAAATCAACCAGTCATGGATATCATAAAAAAATGGAAATGCTCCATGGTCAACACTATTCAACCTACATAACATAAAGCAAATTGATTCGTTTTCAATGAAATCGAAGAATTATCGTAAAGGATGTCTAAGGTACGCATAATGGACTTGTTTCTTAGTTGTTGTTTTTTTTCAAACTAAAAAAGATGTCATCAATAAACAATCAATGCTTAGTATAAAAAAAGAACATACAAGAAAAAAGCCGAAAGAATATATGATAAACACATGACAAATCTATTCACATTCAAAGATAAAAGCTTTATTTGAAAAAAGCCATGATTATCTCTATGATTATGAGGCGTATAATTGAAGCACTTATTCATATAGCACATCGTTTTCAAAATAATTCGGTTGAAATTAATTTTTTTTCACCATAATCTCGTTTTTATAATTCTCTTTTGGGCAAATGAGAGTCTTGCAAGTTGTATGTCAGCATTTTAACAATTAACCTAACAAGAAGTTGAAATTAGAAGCAATTTCTTTTTATCAAAAATTTTCTTGTGTAAATAATAATGACTACTAGTAATAAGAATACAAATCAAAATGATACGACGAGAATTAGAGTGCTCGTACAGCAACAGATGATTCTGATTAGAATATATGATAGAAAATGATCTTAATGATTGACTTCAAGAAACAATGAATGAATGATCTTTATCAAAATGAAAATGTATGTTATATTAGAAATTTGATCGAAATGTGGACAAGTTAAGGATGAACGTAATTTTGATGTTCCATATATGAGAGTCCATACCGAAAATGAATTATATTAATACATGAATCTTTTTTATATCTCTCTCTATCTTATAATATGTTTCCACTGTTATTTTCAATAGGGTCTGCCATGTTAAGAGTGTGGATGTGAATGGAAAGAGCAAAATTTACCTTCACATCCTCACACTATACTTATCATCCCTATTTTTCAAACTGTTTCTAGATAAAAATTATAACCTACAAGTGTGTGTGAAGGACATTTTTGATTCTACTTTTCTCTTGTTAATATTGCTTGAATTAAATAACTTTTTCTGTTACTTAACGTGTTCTATCAACAGTAAAACGAAACCTTCTTTACTTGGATTTGCTACTTCGAATTATGAAAATATATGATTGTATAAAACAAGAAATGAAGTTCAAACTTTTGAAAACAAATCCATATAAAGAGCAATTGCGACAAGTCTATTCACCGACGAAATGCTTTCTGTCATCAAACAGTATACAGGTATGCATTACTTGAAAACAAACTTGAATTTATGATCAAATCATGATATCGATTGGGATTATACCAATAAACTGTGATCAGCCATACGTGGTCTGTATCAGTCGGATTTGTGAAGTGTTTACTATCAAGGACTTTATCTATGGGATATTGAAATCAATTATTTTACACAAAAACTTGGTAGATGTTATTATACAAAATCATTTTTGTCATTTACAACCGCGAAAAAAACTGGCTTCTGCAGGTAATACACTCATCACCTTAAACACAACAAAGGGTAGTCGATTAAATATTGCAAACATATTGCGACTCAATTAAAAATTCTAAATGTTCATCATGAGGGCAATCACTGGATAATCGAGGCTGAACTGATTAGGAATGAGTAACAAAAAGAAACTGACAAAATTTTAAATTAAACTTATCTTCCATGATTACATATGATTATAATATATCATTTTAATGAAATCAGAATGCTTACTATTAAACAAAGAAGCCAATAAGTGTAACATATCACTATATTGAAAAATACTATTTTGATTGCGGAAATCGCTATACTTATAAACAGAGTTAATTGTAAAACAGACGGATCTTTCTCTTGAAGAAAAAACAAAAGATATAGTGATTATGAAAAGAGTTTTTGTCCAATATATGTTTGAAAGAATTCCTTTCTGTAGAGTGATGATGATAGAATAAAGAGAAAAAATGCAAGTACTTGTGGAATATAGGATAGTAAATAAGTACTGAGAAGAAGATGTTTCTGCCAGGAAACTAATTCTTGACAAGCTAATGTAAAAGAAACGGTGATTTGTGGTAAAGCGCTGATTACAATGGCTAACGGAGTAACGTACAGTTCTTTCAAAGATATGAATTGTTCGATCAGAGCTGATCGAGAGAAATTCGATGTGTCTTTTGCTTTCGTTCGAATTCGAGTAATATAAACTATCATGAAAGTAATACAGATGATTTGAACGGCAAAAGGAACAAGATAATGTATCAATGTTGTCACACGATTATAATAAGCGATATTCATATCTTCGAAATGTGTAACACAAACAGTGGAAGATGATTGTTCAATAATTGTGTAGAATAGAATCTCGTGTGAATGCATTAGACAAATGATAAGTAAAGTCAGACTACTGATGAGTTTGGCAAGAAATGGTCGTCTGAACAGAATCTTTGTGGGAAATACAACCATTAATAGTCGATCGATCGTGATCCAACTAGCTAACCAATAGAAAGATCGAGTACTGATTGACAGTAAATAGGAGAATGTTTTACAGAAAATAAGATTCAATTGATCAGAAATTAACCAACCAAATGATTCCATAGAATTATCAAGGAATTTCAAGCATAGAGAGAAAAGTGAAAGTTTATTTAGAAGAGTAATAATTAGAAGAAAGTGACCCACTGCTGTTTGTTGTGGTATTGATCGTCGAATAGTAATGAATGAAAGTATATTATTAATTAATCCAATAAGTAGAAGACATCCAGAAATAATTAGATAGATAAATTGAATAGTCGATGAATAGGATGATAAGAGAGAATCAATAGTCGATCCAAATGCTTCTAATGAAAATTGACATCGATCACCTTGACGACATTTAGAACAAATACAATAGAAATCTTTGCTCTCTTTCAGATTGCCACGAAGACATTTACCATTGGAGAAACACAACTGACATTGATCAATGTTCATGTCATGCAAGAAACAAGATGCTCGATGATTATCCAGTTCACAGACACACAAATAATCATTGCTATAAAAACAATATAAATCTTGAAAATGACGACATATGTAATGATATTTGAAAACAATCGGAACGTCATCGTCATCGAATAATGGCATTTGATCCATCAGTGTCATAATCTCTGGACATCGTTTAGGCGTTGATCTGATTTGCATTTGAGTAACATTTGGAATTAGATAGATAATGAAATAATTTAAATGAATGATATCTATGTACGTTTTCAAGATACCGAGAATAGGTACCTTCATCTCAGGATGATTGTAAGAGATAGTCGAAGGTAATCCATTAATAAGTTGTTGATCTTGAAGAACAATCTCAAGGGAAATACCACGAATGTCACAGAATTGCACTATTGAAACCACTGGTGTTATAGGATCTGTCATATTTAAATCGATTTGAATAAATGATTTTCTTTTCTCACATCGATATCCGTAGAATTCCGTTTGACATTGGCATCGAAATGGATTTTCACCTGTCGGATCGTATGTCAAATGGCAAGTCCCATTATTTAAACATGGATGAAAATGACATTCTTCATGACGTAAATGACAACGTGGACCATAATATCCCAATGAACATACACAAAAAGGTCGATCAACATTACTAAAAAATCCACGGTATCCAGGTTTACAAATAGATTTCGAAGAACAATATGAAGAACATAAGTTTTTAACTGGTTGACATTTGTTATTAAATACACCATTTTGGCATGAACAATAGAATTGACCTGGTTGATTGAAAATTGGTAAACAATCCGAATCTGAAGGACAGGTATGATTGTCACATGAATGATCCGTTTGATTTAGATATTCATCTGAAACAGTTAATATTTTTGCTAAACGAAATGAAGGTAAGAAATCGAAATAGATTGGATAAATCCATTGACCTAATTCAATTGTTTCATTGACATTTAAGAGAAAAAGATTGAAATGAACTGAATAATATCGAACATGAACAATTTCTGGACGATAAAGATAACGTACTCTCGTATAATTCAAAAATTGTGAAAGTCGAGAATAGAGAAGGGTAAAACGGTGTTTAATTGGATTATCTTTTTCAAATGTTCCATTAACGATAAATTCATGATGACTAAGAACAACATCTTTTGTACGTAATATAGCAATTACTTTAAATATTGAATGTTGCATTGTCTCAGTAATATTCAGATGGGTAATTACTGTTAAACGATCACTATAAAACTCACAATAATTCCCATAATATCCTGGTGAACAAAAGCACACTTTCTCTTTTTCACTCAATCCTATTGCTACACCACGATTACAGATGAATGCATTTTCTTCTTCACTGCTCATTCTTCGTTCTCGTCTTGGAGTGGAATGACTGAAGTCCATCGTAGATGGATGAATATTCCAATATAATTGTGGAATTATATTTCGTTTGAAGTGTTCTTTTTCTCGACGATATATAATATAATCAGATTCCAATGCAGCTGCTACACATCGATATTCATCTTCACCATATGCACATTCAAAAGTTCCATTACAACGAGCATTTGGTTTACACGAACCATCCAAACAAATGACATCTCTCTCCTTTGAACACGAAGAACTATTTTGTTGTTGATAGAAACACCATAGTCTCTTATTTGAATCATCGAATACATCGGAACATATATATCTGTTATGATTGTAGCATGTACCATTATCACCTCGATATGTAAAACCAAGCATAAAACCGTTGCAATCAGCGATCGTATTCTTTTCATCATGACCAGCGACACAATCTTCATGTTTATCACCAATTTGTTTGAATGAAATACATGGACGAAATTCGGTAATATTCAATGGATTGGATACATTTGCTCGAAAACAAGGTAATTCGGATGAACCATTACAAATATTTGAAAATGCTTGATAAGTATATCTTTGATAACAAAGACTTATATGATTTGAGAAGTTAGTGAGCTTTTGATTGTGTTCGGAGAATTTATCAATTGAAAGAAGAACTTCTTCATCTGATGCATCTGAACAATCCCATTCACCATCACACAGCCAGAATAGTGGAATACATTGCCCTGTTTGACATTGATACTGATCTCTTGGACAAATCCATGATTTACAGTACTCCGGTAATTCATCCGAATGTGATGAAGTATCCCAAAAACTATCACAATACCAATGTAAAGGGGAACGAGATATTGATGAAGTCGTAGGTAAATCTCGACTAATGTTCCGAATGGAAGAATTGTAGATATAATCGCGAAGAAACGAGCAATCGGGATCACCACGATAAAAGCATTTGAGATCTTGTAATAATCTGTCAGATCCAATGACATATCTATCGGAGCTATCAGAACATATACCAATGGAATAAGGAAAATATGATATGGAAATACAGTAAGGTTCTTGTTTCGAACAACTGAATCGATGTTTTCGAATATTTTGACAGAAATGTTCAGTGGATACATCTGATTCTTCATCGGACATATCATGACAGTCATAAACTCTATCACGAGCGCGATAATATGTAACACATCGATGTGAACTTTTACAGAATGATGGATGAAAAGCATAAGATGCCTTATTGTTAAATGTGAGAGAATGATTACTCCAACAAAATGGATCAAACTGAGGACCAGTGACATCTTTTATTGTTGCTTTACGACAAAATTCAAAATCTAATTGAACATATGCGTGTTGAATCCAAACGACAGATACACTGAGACCTTTTGAATCTGATATTGATATTTTTGCATAGTATCCTCGACATAATATTTCGCCTTCAAAAGAATAATCATCTGGTGTTGGGTCCAACCAATTATGATCGGTACTATACCATGCAATCATATAAGGACGAACTACTTGTGCAGCTGGAAAAGCATAGAAAAGATTACGTCCACATTCGGTAATAATTAATTGAGAACAATTTAATTGATTGCAAACACAATCACGTTCGAGGCCACTTGATAGAGCGCATCGTATCAGATAAAAACATAGATGTTCAACTGATGATGTTTGAGATATACTCAAGTTTGGATCATCATAACCAAGTTGATTCGTACACAGACCAGTATCTGATTTTGTCCATAGAGAATAACGCCGACTAGCTTCACACATATGATTCAATTCTCGATGACTCAAACATTCACCACCGCTTAAAATCAATCGTTGATAACCAAAACGATTCCAGCTATTAATACATTGACCATCACCACATGACCAAAGATGTGCTGAACAAACAGATTCATCACATCGAAAATAATCTGTTTGATAGAAACAATCGCTGTTGAATAGATCAGATTTTTCATCACTACGATCCATACAATCAATTTCACCTAGAATCGATTTCATTGTTATCCTTCCATAATGATACATTTTCATTAATTGACTTACCATCTAACCAGTATGCATCAGGAATACACATACCATTTGAACAACGATATTCATCCATCTCACATTCATTAAATTCTAATAAATCACAATGCTCTTCATCGTAACCACCATGACATTGTTGTTCACCATCACAAATATTTCGCCAGTCTAAACACAGTAATCCTGAATAGCAATTCTGTGCTCGATAACAAAGAATAGCTCCATAATGTTGTGCACCCCAAGGATTACGTTGTTTTTCTTCGAATTGTTCTTTAATTGCTTGTGCAAACGACGTAGCACCATCGAGAAAATGATATTCACAAGATTTTCCAAATGTGCCTGGTTGAATACAACGACAAAAATATTCACCTCCTTTAAGATTTGTTTGATGTGTATTATAGAAAAATGATGCATAATCATCGACTCGTTCAAGACTGGAATTCCATTGAAGAATATCTTGCGGTGAAATATGCTGTTCAAGTAAAGATTGAAATGATAATCGTTCTCCGCCATTAAAACAGTCATTTTTTGATCGATCTAAAGTAATATTTGTACCAGGTCGACGACAATATTTTATTGAAACATCTGTTGTATGATAGATACAATCGTATTGTTCGACTAGACGACTATCTTGTGTATCAAAAAGAAAAATTCCAGCTTGAATATCGACGAAGAAGAGAAAGATAACGAGCGAATGTTTCATCGTAATTGAAAAAAAATGAACTCTATAGTCAGTGAAGTATTCGTCTCAATCATAGGACAGATGTTTTCTAATAAGAACAAAAATAAATATTGAATTTCAATCTTTTTTTCATATTATATTCCTTTGTAGATATATTGTCAGATCTATCAATCATAATGACGTTTAATTTATTCTGAAATATAACTGTTAAATAGAACAAATGATAGGTTCATTTATGTATTCTTATTCATCGTAATATAATATAAACTATCTTATAATCATAGAAAAAAAACACAATAAAGATATCGCAATACTCGAGAATGTGACTATCATGTTTCACTAAAATAATTTTATATTTTAATCGCAAAAGATTAAGTTATATATGTTATTTTATTATCAAATTAAAATAGAGTTTGAATTAAGAGCACAATCATCATAAAAAATAATGTTATGTTCAATTTGCTTCTTTGTGAATCATTAATAAATTGATTATAATTGAATTGAATCAACGTTTTTTGTCGAATTAATTTTATTGTTTCAATTCCATTACAATGTTTTGGTTGACAATTAATTAATAAATCATCTTCAGATGTTTGATCATTGATATCAAATTGAACTTCATAGACTATTGCTGAGATATGATGACCATATGCAAAACAACCAGCACATATTCGATATCCTTGTGAATCTTGCATATCTTTTGTGGAACATACTCTACATTGGTGTGGATCAGTTGGTATATCCATATCACATATATCACTTTCTGTTTTATTAAAAAACAGCAAACAAGAATGACCATCGACTGGTTCAACTGGTATTAAAAGATCTTTAAAATCAACGAATTGATCAGTTACAGTTGATGATCGTAATATTCGTCGAAGTATATCGACATTAGTACATTGATCAGATGCACATGAATAATGGAAGACATGTTTTGTAGATTGATTTGCTCCTGAACCATGAGTATCAGCACGGATGGAAAGTAGTGGTGAAACAGAAGATTTTTCTGTTCTTTCACCAGTTGATGCGAAGATGATTTTGGTTTGATTCGAAGTCAAAAGTAATTGAAAACTAATATAACACATTGTCTGATTGCTTTTTATTGGACAATCATTATATGCTTTCGGTATTGTATCAGCTGTAACTGTATAATTGTATAGTTGAGGTACAGATAAACAGTCATAACATGATATTGCCGTCGATAATGGACCAAAACATACGAAAAGGATAAACAAACGAAAAACCATACTTGAAATTGAAATAATATCACATGTAAAACTATGTTGAAAATCGACGTTTATATACGTATACAATATGCAGAACTTAATCTTAGTTGTTTTTATTACTCATAGATAAAGACTTGAAAACTTACATGAAATGATGGGTACTCTGTATGCGATAATAATATGTAAGAACATGATAAGTTCATACCTTCATCGTCTACACATTTTATCTGAAAGGAACATGATATCATTATAATACACCATTTAAACTTACATTTAATAGAAGTGGTACTTGGGACACCAATTTTCAGTTTAATCGTAATAGTTATATCATAATCTAAACGCATTCAATCTTTCTAATAATTTGATGGCATCTTGGTTCCGTTCGAAATGCGATAGATGAAGAACGAAGACACTGGTGTTATAGATTCTTTTTTTTTCTTTTTAATATGACTCAAAAGATCATATCATACAGTTCCTCATTTGTGAAGAGATATGCTCAAACGAAAATTCTTATTCATGATTCAACATCTTAGTTTATTTTTTCATAAACGATTAGATAGTTTTATTGAAATGGTTCGTCTGATTCGCTTTCGATTGATAAGAATTCGCACATTCTCAGAATTGTATGAACGATTGTAATTTTTCGCATGTCAATTTATATTGACATAATAGAATCGCAAATTCAGTAAGATCTTGTTTTATTCCTATATCTTTTAGTCTAGGTTCAGAATCAAAATAATGTCCACACCTACCGATACGCTCACCACATCCACCTGACGTTCCTTCTTAATGTTAACATACGATACGTGGTCGATTAAAATGAAAGATATTTATTACTAGCAAAAACTTTAAGAATTATGAGTTTGACATCAGCAATAACCACATTTATATCCTCAAGATACTTTACGACGAAAAATATGAATTGTTTAACTTAAAACATATAACTCACAAACATCATCGAACGATTATAAATACTTTTAAGAGAATTGATAGATAGAAATAATGTTCTTATTGATTAAGTTTATGACGACAATACTGAATGTTTCGCGTGACTTTAATCGAATGAGGATGATTGGAAGGTAATATATGACGCCAAATATCGGCCGCTCTTTCAAAATTTGATAGTGCTTCTTGAAATTGCTTTTTTTTCACATAAACTGCGCCCATACCGTGGTATACCAATGCCAGACGTAGATGAAGATCAGGAAGGGATTTCTGGAATATATCAAGTGCGTTTTTGTAATATTTCAATGCGGACTCGAGTTCACCGAAAATCCAAGAGATACCAGCAAGATTGACATACGATTCGCCAATATGATAATGATTCGAAGGAAGCTGTTGTTGCTGAATGGTTAATGCGTTTCGGTAATAATCTTGTGCTTCGAAATATTTTTTCTGCTTGAAATAGACACAACCAATATTACTAAAACATTCCGCTATATTAATATGATTGATGCCATGTTTTCTTTTAAAAATTCTCAATGACTTATTGTATGAGACAATCGCCTGGGTGTATTCACCTTTGGCTAAGTAAATACTTCCAAGACAATTGTAAGTCATTGCAATACTAGGATGGTCAGCCGCTAGATAAAGTCTTTTGATCTTCAATGATTTATTGTAACATTCAAGATTAGAATCATAATCGCCTTTTTCAGAAGCTATTATACCTAGATAATGGTGGCAAACACCAGTATTATAATGATTGGGAGGTAATTCTTCAAAACAACGAACTAAATATCTTTTAGCTTGATCAAATTTCCCCATTTTAACCAGTATACAACCCAATGAACCAACATGAGTTTCTGCATTATCTGTATACTCTTTTTTCATATGATTCAATATGGGTGTTAAATCATGATCATTATCGCCACATAATACCATTCGAATGATCCACATGCTATGATCAGAAAAAATATGAACAATTCGAAAGATTGATCCCGGCGCAAATAACACTTCCGCTTCATCTTCAAATTGACTGATGGAAGAAATATTAGCAAATGGTTGAATACCGAAAAGTTCAGGGTTAGCATCAATTTCAAATAAAACTCCTTTCACGTGGCGATTTGTTGATTTTGTATCATCCGCGTACACCAAAGCCACACTACGGTCCATACTTGTTGAGAGAAAAGCATTCACGGATATGAGTTGCCCAATGGAATCTTTTAGTCTTTCCAATTCTTTATAGAATATCCTTTGACCATGGTAGACACGAATGAATGATGAGCACTTACGCTCTTGGAGTTGCTGTCGAAGATCACGGATAAAAAAGCGAAATTGAAAGAGTAAATTAACATTTTGTAAGCGAAAAGCCTGGTTTAATCGCTTGTACAGAAAAAGAGCCCTCGTATACCATTGTATAGCTTGATCTGGTGAGTAGTCTCGTTCAAAGGACGGGGGCGTATAAGACCATGATTTCGCCCCTTTTGATTTTTTATTAAAAGTCTCATCATTTCGTTCAGTAAATGTCAGATATCAATGAATTAAATGTTTTTATGCTTAAATAAGTTGATTTTTATATATAATTTATGTACATCCTAAGAATATCAGGCTCATAGTAGTTTTCACGTTTTTTCATTAAAAATTTAAAGGAGGGGGGCGTTTAAGGGCCCATTTTCGCCCCTATCATTTTTCACACTGCATCCACTTTCATACTTCACAGATTGAAAGATTAGAAGCTACTGATCATTTTAATACTCAACATGAAGTACTTTCGGTGGACTATAAGTGCACATAACACCAATCTTCGCTATGTATTAAATGCCTGAAAAAGCGATTCACTAGTGAATATAGTTAGCCTCATTGTATAAGACAAAGCATCGAAATATCCACTGGTTCATGACTCTATGGATAGGCCTGTGTTTAAGCTTCATTTTCATAGTAGAATAGTTAAGTAAAATAGTCTTTGTCTTGGCTCCAGCCGCTGCAAATGCTGTAGTCTACTTAAGAATTGAGTGAAACATCATGTTTGTGGGTTAGATAGTGATTCAAAAGAATCAACACCCTCTTTCTTTCATATCGTCGTTGGTAGAGCTTGAAAAGCTCTACAAAGTCAGCTATTTTTCCGGCTTTAAAAAAGTGGGCCCGAGTATCAAATCCCGGACATACTCTATTTTCCAGCCATTTTTTTCATTTTTCACTAGTCTTCGCTCGATTTACTCAATAAATGCCCTGAATTTACCCCCCTGAAAAAGTCATATTTGAAATCAGCGCGAAAAACGGAGTCGAGCTATATACCTTTCAAATTGCTTCTGTGACTTTCATTTTTGGTCAATCCTGGACTCTGAGGTCCCCCTCAGAGATGTGTCAAAAACAATGATCGTTAGAATCTGATAGGACCTGCATGAAACCCATCTTAGAGGCATCACATAATATTATAACAGAAGAGAATTGAGATTGGTATAACAAAGTAGTGCTCAGGCTGAAATTGGTTTCTGACACATCTCTGAGGGGGACCTCAGAGTCCAGGATTGACCAAAAATGAAAGTCACAGAAGCAGTTTGAAAGGTATAGAGCTCGACTCCGTTTTTC